AAGCTAGAGAACTGGCTCAGAGTCATAATCCGATCTGTTAGTTTTTGAGCTTTTTGGGTGTTTTGCAGACATGGCATGTCAATCAATGCCTGGATCTTGTCCGGGTTCGATTTTATTCCTTTGAGAGTTATGAGGTAACCTAAAAACTTGTCGGTTGAGGTTCCAAACGTACATTTCAAGGGGTTCAACCTCATATTATATTTTATTAGGGTTTGAAAAGTTTCTTTTAGATTCTTTATGTGGTGTTCTATCGTCCGGCTTTTTACAAAGATATCATCGACATAGACTTCAATATTTTTTTCTTTTTTATTATTAAAGATTACATCGATTAAACATTGGTATATTGCCCTAGCTTTTTAAAGCACAAAAAGTATTACATTACAGCAAAAAACTCTTTCAGTTGTGATTAAAACGATATTCACAGCGTCCGCCGTGTGCATCTTGATTTGATAATAGCTGGAGAAAGCATTCAACAAGCTCATCACTGAATAACCCACGGTTGCATCCACCAGAGTGTCAATCCTCGGCAGCGAGTAGCAATCCGTTGGGCAGGCGGCAAATTGTTGAAGCCAACGCACATTCGCCTCTTCCCGCTGGCCTTCTGAACAAAGAAGATGTTTGAGAACCAGGTGAAATATGCACCTCCCAAATGTATCCCGCTTCCTGCAGCTTCAACACCTCCTCTCTGATGTGTCTAGCCAGTGCAGTCCCCGAGTTCCTTGTCTTCTGCTTGATCGGTCGGACTACACAACTCACATCAACCAATGACAAGTGACATCAATCGTTGCTCCTGGCATCTCTAAAGCGGACCACACAAAAACATCACAGTGATCCTGAAGTGTTTGAATTAGTAACTCCCGTTACCCTGCATCAAAATATCACTTATTAGGAAAGATTTACCGAGGACGCCTTTGGCGACGAGATCTTCCGGGTGGTTTCACTTATCTTGAGGCCAACCTCTCTCCATTTTCATAAGTCAAGCGGCTTCTGCTCCACACTCCCAACCTCTCCGAGATAGCAGACTCGAGACTGTTCCCAGTCCCCTCTGATAGTGATTACTTCTCCATCTTTTGGGAACTTCACTGCAACGTGGTAGGTGGACACCACGACTTCGAAACGATTTAGCAGCAACCGACCAAAGCTGGCGTTGTAGTGGGAGGTGAGTCCACTATTAAAAAATATTTCGTCTCCGTGAATTGCTTCTATCCCTCGCCCCAAGTGACCGTCAGCAACATTACACCTAACGACTTTTTTTTTCACTTGAAAAATCAAATAATTGGCTTGTCGGCATTACCAATCGATCGGTCCAAAAATTAAGCTTATTGAACGCTGATTTAAACAAAATATTCACAGAACTGCCAGTGCAATAAGTATACTCCAAACTTGGAAGTTATTTATTATCAACATTACGACTATAGATTGTGTTTTGTGAACGTGATGGAGGGCAGCTCCCCCTTCTCTGCATGGAGACAAGGTTGCATAGTTCCCCGATCTTGGATCTCTTCTGGGAGCTTCGTTGGAGGATTATATCCCTCCGAGAATGGCTGAGATTATCGTGGTGATGTGGATAACATTAGTCTGGATGGGGTCCAATGGAGCTTCTATGGCAAGAGCATTGGCATGCCTCTAACAGGAAGTCCCTGGGCCACAAACTCCTTCAGCTTATCCGCTTTTGTCAACTTCTCAATAAGACTCTAAAGATGTATGCATTCCTTCGTGTCATGGCCATGGTCTCGATGATACTTATGGTACTTTCTTACATCACTAAGAAAGCCTTCAGCTCTCAATGGTTCGAGTTCTTTGAAATACTCCTTGCCCTAGATAGCGTCCCAATTTCCGCCATTGATACCCTCAAAAGGGTAAAACGCAAGCCCTCAAAATCGTTGAATGGTTGTTCATAGTGTTGTGTCGGCCTCATAGTATCGGGTCGGTCGTGTATCACGGTTCATCGCCTGACCGCCCTGTTGGTTGTAACGATCAAACCTCTATTGTCGCGAGAGGATTAGCTGTCGTCGAACCGACATCGGACAGGTGGTCTTTGTTGCTCTCTTCTGGGCCTGATACCCTTCCGGCTCTCGCTTGGGGGTACTCTCCTCTACGTGGACGTGTTTGTTGGCTCTTTCCAACAGCTCGACCAAGTCTTGGACTTCATTTATACTGAGGTCATAAAAAAACCTCTCAGACCTCAAGCCTTGTTTCAATGCAACTACGGCCGCGTCGACTCGGAGGTCTTTGACCTCCAACATTTCTCATTGAAAGTTTGAAATGTACGTGCGTAGGCTCTCGTGCTGACCTTGCTTAAGTTGTCATATGGATTGCACGCTCTTGATGGGTTTCCGAGCACTGACAAACTGTGTCAAAAACAATCTCTTAATATCAGTGAAGTTGCTGATGCTTCGGGCTGGAAGTGCATGAAAGCACTTCAGGGCTGGCAACCTCAAAGTGGTAAAAAGCATACGGCATTTGAACGCATATGATTCGTTGAGCAGGCATAAAACTAACTTAAATGAAGTGATTTGGTTAATGGGGTCTGACTGCCCTTTGTAAGCCTTTAAGGTCGGTAGTTTGAACTTTTTCAAGGGCTCCGCTCCAAAGATATAGAGAGAAAAAGGGTTCTCGGCTGAATTGACACCTCAGGCGCCCAAATCATTGTTTTTCCCACCTGCGCGGATCCCGCACCGTCGTGATACTGCTAGTCACCAGCCCCTTAGGGCTGTTGTTCACCCTCCTATCATTGTGCATGAGCGCCACCTTCTATGACTGGTTCTGCTCTTGGGGGGCTTGATTTCTTGCTAGGGTTGTGACAGCCCTCAAAACCTCAGCGATCTGGCCCGAAACCTGCTTCAAGATCTGAGTCCTCATTTCCTAAATCCCTCGATGTAATCTCATAAGGGGTCAACATAGCTACTTCTCTTTGGACACCCTCGATGTGATCGTTGGGCTCCTCTTCATGTCGAAGGCATGATTCTACGCTCACCGCACCTTTTAAGATATTGAATCAAAAACAATCTGAGGGACATGTCTAAGGCATAGAGTGTTGAAGGGAGAGAGAGAGAGCAAGGAGAGCAATAGCTCAGCATAGAACAACAAACTTGTGTAACATTTATTCATGAAATAGACCCTCGATTTATAGAAATGGGGGGTTACACAATTACATATTGTACCCCTAATATACATATGTACAACGTGAGTATTTTAGTTTATACAAAAATATGGCCCAATATGGGGGGGGGTGCGCACGAACATCCGCCCGGAAGGGGTTGGGCGGTCATTAGGTCGAGTGGTTGCATATTGAGGACCGGTGACAACTGCTCTGGATCTAGATAGTCTGTTTCGCCCATTTTGTCGGTCCAGGGTGAACGACATTGGATTCGTCCCATAAGTCTAGTTAGAAAGATTTTTTAGGAGTTGATCTACTCTTATCCGTCTGGGAAGTATTATCCTCCCAATACTCGAGAGTCGGATGACGGGGGTGTGGTTCTGGATCGTCTTTAGATGGCGCCGTGATGTCATATCACATCTTCCGCCGACCGCGAGATATCTTTGAGATTCATGTTGACACATTTTTTATATACACACGAGTTTTTGGGTAATGAGATACTATTTGCAATATCAATCGAGAAAAGGAAATGTAAGTGAGAAAGGATTGAGGGAAATGAAGATAGAGGGAGAAAGACAATATGCAGACATGAGCTTGTTGCCAAAAACCTTGGCTTATTCTTGTATCTCAGTTTATTTTTCTCTCGATGATGGCTAGAGTTTTAGAAATTAGGTAAAATCCATTCACAAAAACCATATTGGGTATTTATAGCAGCCTTGAATGCTACTACCAGCAAATCCCCTCAATCATGTGGATATCTAGATACATCCCCTTAGTAAAGTTCTAAGCTACTCCATTTTTGATGTTATCTCCAAGTTGGTTAATATTTAAACATGTTTACACATTGGCCATAATTGTGGCATTAAGCAGCATTGACCATGTGACGTATGCTAAGTCATTGGTCCTAAGAGGCGGTTGATAACGAATATAACGGTGATGAAAAGAGTTGTGTGCTTCAAGTTTCCTCCATTCGGGTGCATGAGTGGGATTTCATATGACATGGGTTACCTGTTTTGTTGTCATTCCCAAGGACGTTATTTAGAAGGGTTGCTATTGCAATAGTTAGGTGCTAGAAAAGTTTTCATAAGCTACTCAAGCTGGAAACCTATGCTCACCACATTGTTTTCAACTTTTGCCACCAATGGGTTCATGCCCAAGAATCAGCCTCCGCCATGCTTAGACTAGAGGTGGTACTTGTGAGAAACAATTTATCATACTCGGAGTGAAAACTCTAGACCTCGTAGGCCTTCGATATGCTGGTGGTCAACTAAAACAAATTCCTGATTTAGACAAACCACTCATTGATGAGCTATGAGGTGACACTGGGGATTTCACAAAATGAATCCCATTCAAAAAAACAAAAAAAAAAGTAATAATATGAGTCATCCTAGGATCTATATTCACCTCTCGAGAAGCATTAGCTTTACTTACTGCTGGCATATTTTGCGATCTGTGGACACAAATACTAAACTCTCAGCTTTTGCGATGCTTCAATTCAAATGTGCCATTTGCGAGAAACGTCCTATCACCCTTGAAGTAAGAACTCCCGACCAATCAGACACTCGAGATAATGGGGGCAACTAAAACATATTCCTTATTCAGACGCACACCTCATTAGTGTTATATAAGGAAACATTTTGAGGATTACTAGCAATGAATGCCGTTCGAAAAGGAAAATACTAGGCGTGGGGGTAGCCGTAGGATCTACATTCAATTCTTGAGAAGATTTCTTTCTTTTTGGAGCAATTATCATCTTTTAACTTTTATTTTACTGGTAAACTATCAATTTCATGTAATCGTTATAAGGCTAATAATGATGATGATGTCTGAGACCAAATTCAGTCGGCTGGAAAATATAAGTAATTATAAGAAAAAAATTTCCTCAGATTAGAAACCGAACCTTGAAGCGACCACTCTCTGCAAGGGTTCGGATTCCATTCAAATTGCGAAAATTTTGCTTAATCTCCCCCGTAGAATACGTTGCTCCTGCATCCACCGAGCACCATGCCGCCATCTTTCTCCACCAAAGCTGTCAGTCGCGACTTCTCCAGTAGAATCAAACCGCGAGACAGGAGGAAGGTTGGTGGAACGAGACGATGCAGGGGTGTTGGTGGGAAATGCGTCGATATTTCGCGATTTATCGTGGCGGAAAAGCGGAAACAAGAAAGGCCGCTTGTACGAATTAATGCTGTTGGTGCATTTTGTAGGAGAAAAAGTTATCATATTAATATTAATTTTTTTCTCTCTTATCCTATTTCTTCTAATTTTATAGGATAAGAATTTATCTTACTAGTGATTTATGAATTGAAATCAAGCCCTTGTGATTTTTGTTGTGATTTTTGTTTCACTTTTGCAGTTGTCCCAATCTTTCCTTGGGGATGTTCGGGAATGGATTTACATCATATTTATGTAGGATTTAGGTTGAATCTTATCATGTGGTAATTTTGCACAAAATAAATCCCGCAATTCCATAAACCCGGATTCCGCATATTTCAGTTGTAAATCTCGTAAATCCTAAATCTTGTGAATCTGTATATTTAAGTTCGTCGGGGTTGGGATTTAAGTTAGCGGGCTTCCATTTGCTTCACCGGCCATAACTACTTCATTAATCCTTGCTGAAAATTATATCTCATCTGACGCTAATAATTGTAATGAACTTTAGCCTATTTTGGGCTAGTATAATTGCATTCTTAGAATTAAGGAGAAGATATATGGTTTACCTTCTTTAACTAATAAGTTATATGACTTTAATAATTGTGTTCCCAATTCTAATCTTTTTGAGCTACAAAATAATGGCAATACATTTAGTTGGTACGGTAATTAACAATAATCCTATCAACTGTCTTTTAGATATAGCTCTTTATAATATTTATTGGATGGACTTTTTTCCTTATTCTATTTCCATAGTTTTGGATATTCTACATCTCATCATTCCCTTATTTCTGTTTTTTTAGAAAATTCCTCTATTCTGAACATGGATTTATGTATAAGAAGTATTGGAATTGCTGCCTTACTTTATTGTATGTTATGAATGTTGACTAAAATCTTAAAGTTAACAGTGATCATTTCTTTGTTCTTTATAATAAGCTTTAGAATGTTAAAGCTGCCCTCAAAGATTGAAACTAGTATGATTATATTTATTTTTTGAATTTTTTTTTTTGTGATTTGAAAGAAGATGGCCCAAAAAGTTGTGTTGAAATAAGTCAGTTAAATTGTGCAAGTGTATGTGTCAAATAATAATCTGGATTCAAAGTAATGCATATCGATCCCATGAAGAAAGATTTAGGAACTATTCTAAAGGTTGAATTTCTAGTTTATTGAACTTCTAAATCTAGTTCAATTTGATCACAAGATAAAGATTTAATTCCTACAATCTTAGTTGAAAACAAAAAATAAAAACTACGATTTGAAAAACAAAGAAAACAACAAGCAGAAAAATTTTACGATTCTTCAAGAGAGATGAGACTCGTGCCTTTATAATTCAGTCATCGTGGTAGTTGTGGTTTTCATATATTTTCCCCTACATGATAGTTGTCAAGATGGATAAAAGTATTCTTTTTAAGCATGTGCCTAGGCCAGAAGAATAATCAGAAGCCCATTAAGTTAAGTTTCGTTTCACCCAACAGCATTTCCCAGAATAACTTTGATCCCATTTCTAGGTTACAAAATTATAATAGAATATGTCTATTCTTATCAGCATTTTGTAGTTAACCATTTCATTTGTTTACGCAACGAGCAGAAGTCTTGGATCACAAAAGATGTAACATTCTAATTAGTCAGATCAAGAGTAAATAAAATCCAAAGTTTAACATAAAAACTTTTGCTTGGAGGCTCAAAAAAACTTCATGGGAAAAAAAATCCGAGAAAACCACAAAAACCACAAGCCTGACATAACAAAGTTGCAAACTAGAACTTAACTACACATTGTGGAATGTACGACCGAAAATAAGCCAACAAAAATCATTGTTACAAGCAAAAATGATTGTAAACACTTACAAAATAGCTTGTCCTCTCCACCAAAGAAAAATCTCTCTTTCTCATATGATCTCCTCTCCAAAAAATAAGAATAACAAAAGAATAGAGAAAGGAAAGCAACCCTTAGGACCTCAACCTCAAGCAAGGAAGAAACCCCTAAGGGAGAACCTCTCTCACACACATAAAAGCTCTCAATCTCTGCGTCAAGCCATTTTTTAATGATCTAAACCCCCTTAGAAGCTGCCCTAAATCAATTTTTATAGCTTGTGTCTCAGATTAGCAGGAAATTTCTTCCCAAAAAATATTTTTCTCTTCGTTGGCATGGTCACACACAAACTTGGCGTGGTTGTGCCCAATTTTCTGATCGGGTGGTGTGATCACACCCAATGCTAGAGTAGTCACGTTGTTGCCTTCGATATAGTGACGTAGCCACGCACACTCCAGGCATGGTCACACTAGTTTTGGTTGTCCAAACATTAGTTTTTCTCATTCCAAAATGTGTGCTTGATCATCTGTAACATGCACACCACCATAAAATAACCTTCCATAAACATAACTTCATGATAATTAAGGCGAAAATAACATGTAAAAAGCCGGATTATATGTAACAAAAATTACATAGAATTTGCTCATGTCAATACCCCCAAACTTGTTCATTACATGCCCTCAGGTAATCTCATACCTTAGCTAGGATTTTCATAATGCTAGTAGCACTCATATGGTTATCCTGCCTAGTTACTGGGTTATATAAATGTCATAAAAATTATGGAACTTTTATTTAAAAGTTAAATTTTCCCCAAGGTTTAATTACTTAACCCTTTCTTTATTTTCCCTTTCCTGGTCCTAATGAAATCTCAAAACACATTTTTAAGTGAGCCTGAAATATTTTCATTTATCAAACTATCATTCTGATTCAATTAGGAGTCAGCCTACCAACCATATGACACCTAACCTCTTATTTGGATAATAACATAAGAAACTCACTATGTTCATTTTGAAAATCTGTCAATTATTGAAAAATTGAAGCCAATTATTGTTGAGCGCCCTTAAACATTTTCTCAAAGGGACTTTTGTCAATTTTTTAGATTTTTCTTCCACTTTTTCAACTAGCCACAAAAAATTCTTTTTCTTATACTTTTCTCTTCTTTTATTATGTTGTTTTTTCCTTTTTTTCCTGAGAATTATTATATCTGGTGGAGCTTATTTTTTTTACTGAGTTTGATTGTCAATTTTTCTTATTGGGAGCTCCCAATATATTATCTTCCAGCCAAAAAGTTTGGTTTCAATCCAAGTTTTCTATGCAAATTACTATGTGATAAAGGAACACTATTTTATTAACTACATACAATTTAATTATACTCTTGTAATTATTTTAAGGCTTATTAGATTCAAAGAAATATTGTAAAAGTGTAGGACAAGGTTCTTAGGCATTAATTTAAACTCTCCCCTTTTATGATTCTTCCTCTTTTAATAATGTTTTATATATTCAAGTTAAATAAGTAGGATGTTGACATGAGGCATTTATTGAAAATAACCACAATGCAAAGCATAGAATATGAGAAATACTCTTCTGCAAGGTAACAAGCATCACATTTCTCCCTCAAACATTCCTGTTATCCCAGGCATGCTATATAAGAAAGTATTGATAACACAAGTAGGTGCAGAAAATATACTATAAGTATAGGTAATGTACTGCATAACAGTTAACCACATAAAAAGGCATAAGAAATAGCATATAACAAAAATTGAAACTGCTCATATATACTCAGAGATGCTACAGGGCACATTTCAAGAAACATCATAAGGAATAACAATAGTCTAAAGAATAACACTAAAACTGCCAACAATGCAATAGTCACCCCAAAAAAATAGTCACATCACAGTAGTAGGGACAACAACATGCTAAAGCATGGCACTGTCACCTGGCACAAGGAAAATAACAATGTAGTAGTCTCTCTAGTCATTGTCTGTATCCTCCATCTCTTCATCCTCTGGGACAAAATTCTCAAAAGGCGCAGCAATTGGAAATGACACTAGCGAAAGCACCCCATATACCTCCTGAATATATTGGTGCATGTATCCATACTAGTGTTGGTGTTGGACTGCATAGTGCTCTGTCTGCTGACGTACCTCATGGATCACCAATTTCATCTTGTACAAATGCCTAATCACCTCGGCATTTGATGGGTTGGACTACGGTGCCTGTTGACCTCACTTTTGGTTGAGGTTTAGTCACTTTTCCTTAGAAGTCTGGGATCTAGCCATAGAACTTTCCTATTGACTATTCCTAAAAGTCTAGTAAAGGAACCCTCGCCATTAGAAACTCTAAAAGTCTTCTTTGCCCATCTTGAAGTTCCATGTGGTTGTTCCAACATCTAGCACTTAGTAGGTAGAGCAAATATGGGGGAGCTCAAGAAGAGTCCCCATAAGACTGTTTGGCCAAAGGGTTAGCCCTGGGTAGTGTGGTCTTGGTCACTCTTGCACACACACTTGATACCCCCTCACCTTCACTCACAACATAAAACCCTTAACCAAACATGCTTAGCTTGATCCCTCACTCTTTTGGAAATTCATGTTGTAGCCCTAGGCTTGTGTTTGCTTAAGACCAACACATGGAGGATTCATAGTCGGAGTTCCCTTGGTCTCATGGCTCAAAAAAGGGTAATTTTATGATTAGCATCTTATTGAGCCTTAATCCTACCCAAATAACCAATTTAGTCTTTTGCCCACAAACTTTCCCAAAATTATCAAATTACCCTTGAAGCCCTAAATTTTCAAAAATTACCCAAATTACCCAATTTTGTCCAAAAATCATCTCAAACTCTTTTAAACCACTCATATTGTCGAGAACATTCCAAAATTTTCAAAATTCTCAATACCTCTACAATTGACAAAATTACCAAAATGCTCTTGGTGCCACAAAAATTCTCAAAACCTCCAAATTCATTCCAAACACTTCCAAAACCAATCTTGACCACTCATGAAGTCCAATTTGACCAAGTTTGTCCAAAATTCCTATTTTGCCCTTTAAGCCCCAATTACCCCAAATTTCCACCAAATTGATTCCAAACTTCACCAATTTCAATTCCAAATCAAGATTCACCATGTTTGATCCTAATCAAAACCAAATTGAAGCTCAATTGAACTCAATTTCCAAGCTCAATTCAAAAACCCCCAATTTGGTCATTTCCCCAAAATTCA